TGTATAAAACCACTGTTAACTGTTTGATAAGTCAAGTTCGATAGTTTATACATCTTTATAGTGGTTAAGATAACATTTTACATCGCCAGAGTTTATGTAAACGATTAATGTGTTTTCGACGTCTTATTTACAACTTGTGTGAAGTGCCGTACACAAAGCGATCATTCTGATAATAAGATCCACTATTCACTTACTTAGCTTAGTTTTTTCAGTATCAATTAAAAGTAAAATGTGTAATGAAATATAAGAGTTTATGAAATGTTTAACCGTTGCCCAAGAATCTTTCGCGTAGAGTTAAAAACTGTGTATATTGCCTTCCCTAGTTTTTATGTGAATAACCATATATTTAGAGAAAAAGGTCATTTTAGATTCATTTTCAATCTGTTTGGAAACTTACAGATAACACGATGGCGTATTTCTAGATACAATCGATACCGTTAAAATAAATTTAGAATGTGGTGGGCAGTGGCCGACCACGACGTCGTTTGTTGACCTTTGATAGTTATCCGATTAATTTGATTTTAATAAGTATAATTATGTATGTTCTTGCCCATATTTTTGTTAATAGTAACATTTTCTTTTTACATACGCCAATTGAGAGAAAATTTAAATGTACATTTTTGTTACATTTTATGTTGTAAGAACGTCGTTTAATTACATTATACGGTTTTAATTTTGTGCCGACCCAAGAAAATCCTATTACACGTTATTAATTTAGCAAGGTAACGTGCAAATGTTTTGTCAAGGGATTATTAATTTCATCTAAAAATGAAAATCATTTGTCCTGACCATAGTGTGTTTTTATTTTTTTTAATTAGACAACAAAATAAAATCTTAGATTGCTGACTAAAAATATCGAACAAAAGAAGGTACAAAAATTAAATATAGTCTACAATAATTGTGTCAATTAATTAAATTAGGACCTTAAATAATTATATACCGTGTTTGAAATGTTTCCTTTTTCTCTTACATTTTATATTCGTGGCAAATTGCAGAGGGCAGTTGGGTGTTAATTAATTTATGTACCGTTTGTTCTCGCAGCTACATACACACTCCATGTAAATGTGGTTTAAATTATTTTCATGGAAATTAATTTAATAATTGCAGCTGAAAAGGTATTTTCTTCTTTACAGTACTTATATAAAATGTATTTGAGGACTATAATTCTTTTATCTATAGTTTTATTTCTAATAAGAAAGAAAGAAATCAAAAAAGAAAAGGAATTCATTCGGCATGTGCTGCGGTGTACAGCTAAGCGCCGGTTTTCAAAGAACCCTAAAACAGAACAGGGAGTTACACAAAAGAGAAGAAGGAAAAAAGAACGTACTTAATATTACACTCGGTCACAATTAGAAAACTTGATATAAATCTAAATCTAAGAAAAAATGTAAATAAAAAAAATCAACACAAATAAAAAGACTCTGATCTTACTAAATATACCTAGAAGGACCCCAGAAGGGTCTAAGACTGGTCGGTGCCGCCACCGAAAAAATAGACGTAAGTAAAATAATTTGTTATAAAATGTATCACGAAAGTTTAAATAATTTATACCTAACTTATTTTAAAAAAGTATAATAACACAGTAGAAAAAATTGTTCTACTTATTTTTAAAAAATAAAACTCGCTATCCATTATTCTTTCCTATTAAAAAGTCAAAGTAAACAATTTTATGATGAAATATTAAATTTCAAAGTGGACTAGAGGCTAAAGCGTTTATCTGTAATTAAAAACTAAAGGAACTAAAAAGATTACGAAAAGGTAAAATCAAATGAGCGTATAAAATGTTTGTTGGAGGGTATTTGATAATAAAACTTAGTTTGGAATTCCTTTAAAGAACCCATTTTAGGTGCAAAAAATACATCTCCCAGCGGCAGTGCAGTGCACTACAAAGTGTTGTTTTGCAAAACTTGAGTTAAATGCAAACGAATTTAAGTTGTCAAGTCGAGAGGGAGCCGATATTGTCAAAAGTTTTGCCATCTCGACTGCAAACTACTTTGTAACAAAGTCCATTTATTTTGGTGTTTTCATAAGGTTACAAGATTTAATTTTTATAATTTTGTATTATAGTTTTCAAGATAGTATTAGAAAAAAAGTATTTCAGACAAATTAACATAATTATTCTTTAGGAAAAGTACAAATGAAATATGAAGGTAAACACCATTACATATTATTTATGTCATTCCAAGTCCGACTTCAACGTCGATAACAATTCACTAAATTGACGATATCAAACGGTGGCGACGAAATTGCGGGGCGTTTTAATAAAACGGGTGATGTTAGGGCGCGCGCCAAATGCGTGCTCTTTGCCTTTGTTATTGCCGGGCTGGCAGGCTGGCGGGGAGCCAACGCGCCGGGCACGTAACGACCACGTTTGCGTAACCGACGATAGAAAATCAACGGCACTTAACTTTCATACGCACTACTACAGTGAATTAATAACAATAAAGCCGCTAGTTCAGCTTTAAGACTTCGTTTATGTATTTTTTACATGGTCGATTAAAAAAGAACTAAGTCCTATACATTAAAATTGAAATATTCAGTTAATATTGTTCGCACAACTCGAACAAAACTTGAGAAGAGCATCACACAGATACATGTTTATTAAATTGGACAAAGTATGCACGTCTGAGGCAATCTAACTTTACCAGAGTTTGCGAACGTGTGCGCTGCTGAAGTGTGTTGTGTACGTCCGTTTTTATGTTGAAAGCAACATTGTAGAAAAATAAGTTAGAAAAAGAACATAATATGTTTGAGAGAATGTTAAATTAATAGAAAATATACTTAAACTTACAATAAATTAATTTTAATCAAACGATTCACGTAACCCTTATACTTAGACTGAGGACCAAAATAAAATAACTTCTTACTTAAGTTCGGCAGTCTTAGGAGTTACAAAAAAGTACAAAAAAACAAGTTAGGGTGTTCGCAGTCTCACGAGTGTAGCCGATGCAGTTTTGAGTGTTGTTTTGTCACAGTCGGGCAAACTCGGGTGCGGCGCAGCTGCTCGACTCCCTTCCGAGCAGCTCGCGCTCTCTTCCAGGAAATGAAATGCTTTATGCAAACACAAATGGAACTTTGAATATTTAATACAAATCCCTGTTTGTTTTGTGAGCGGTCAACTCAGAAGGTAGAGTGCAAATGACACTGGAACAACACTCGTATATGACTCGAGCTTTATTACTCAGGGGGAACTTGTCTAACGAACCAGTCTCAAGTAAATGACAACAATATAAAATTGTTACTATAATATCTGGGAGTATTTAGAAATAAGGAAAGAGTCTAAATACTTAACAGAAAGTACAAAGAAACCATTAAACTAAAAAAAAATACATAATAATTCCACGTTTTGAAAATGCTCTTGTAATAATTTCTCCCAACTTGAAAGAAGGCGGTTATATTGAAATAGTGCAAGTTATCTGCTGAGTCTGCCTATTGAGCAATAAATAACCCGAGTACACAATAAGCGTTGCCCCGAGCGCTGTACTAAGCCGCTGTAGCCTTGCGGCCCATAAACTGCTCGCGGTTAAATGTTAAACGACACACTCAACAACCGCCTCCTTTAATATTCAACAAAATGAAATCCAAAATACTTACACCCTTTATTTATTACTACCTAGTTCAAACGTGAATAATATCGTTATTATATTAAGTCGTATGAAATCTGAAATCTTTAAACATATCACAAAATAGTCTACCTTTTGTTAACGTGATGAATGGAGTATATTTCACTATTCTATTGTAATACAAGAAACTTTGTCGTGATTGCAATCTGAATAATATTACTGCTGTCGAACAGTTGTCACCTTTGTGCAGAAATCACCTTTGTAGGAAGGAACTAAACAGTAATACATATTTCATGTGATCTCAGGACAGACCACGAAGCAGTCCCTGTAATGATCGAATTCAGATTGAACTCCGCGGACTTTCCCGCAGCGCTCGAATCTGTTTTAATGTAAGACTTCGAAGATACAACTTGCATTCATTTCAATATATGTTTTTGAATCTAGCTTCGATATAGCTAGGTTGGATGACTTTGTGAACTCAATATGTAAACATTTCACAACTCTGTGTCTTTTGAGTTTTATGCGTTTTGCATCTTTTTTCTGTACTAAAAGATTATTTAACTTTCAGTCATAAAACCAGTGATAGGTAATTAACACAACATTGCAATTCACTTAACTCGTCACAGCATAAGACATTGGCAAAACAAAAAAAGGAAACAAAAAAAATGATTTACAAGACAGACCGTCTATTTCCATATTATTAAACGAGAAGTAAAGTGCGGTGAGCGACGACGACGTAGACCCATGAATAATAACCTCCTGGCTGTCATTACATCGCATTTTCATAAACACGTATCCAAAAATCCCTCAGTAACAAAGAATGTTTTCGACAGCGCACCTGATGCCTTATAAATAAGTCTGATAATAAAAACCTCTGCGCGCGATGCCGAAAAATATATGAATTTGAATAAAAGGAAAACAAAAGTCGCCGCTGTGATCCGATATCGTAACTGGCTTCTCTTTGGATCAAATTCCATTTTACTTTTTTTAAGGAATTCCAAGTAAAAGTTCAAACTACTCCTGGAAAGGACTGAATATGTAGATTTTCAAAACAAAGTAATTCTCATACCACTTTTCTTTGTTAATGGGAAGTAAAGTTTATAAAAAGGGTACTCTCTAGCGAATTACATTATTTTATCTTGACATATATGTATAACAGTTTAATACATAAACTGCGGTGACCTCCTGATGTGCTGAGAGCGGGGCAAGTGCCACTCACTGTATGAACTCCACTATACTTGATGGCAACATCGAGGTATAAATATTTTATTTAAAAGTTAAACTTCACTACAACTTTTAAGTGAAAATGACGATGATCTTATTGCAAACCACCATCACCATTTTTCACAACAATTACCAGAATAAAGAGTCTTCTATCGCCTTCTTACAGACAATGATTTCAAATTAATATGTTGGACAGTTGAAGCGAGTACTGACCTGAGTCCAGGCACGTCATCCACCGGCGTTCCATCGGGCAGCTGCCAGGTGATGGCGGGACTGGGTGAGCCGTGCGCCGCACACGACACGCGCGCGCCCGTACTGTTGGAGAAAGCGAGGCGCGCTGGCGGCTCCAACAGGAACACCGGCCCGTGCTCCTGGCCCTCACCACCTGCAGACGTGTCACAACTTGGTAAGCTTTTTACAAAGTGGGCATCGCTTCAAAAAAGTTGAAATAAGTAGATTTCTATTTAGCTTTAAAGACATTTGTGTTTTTCTTGCAAGAGATGCAAAAAAAATAGAGATTGAAAAGTTTATCACAATTGCACTAAGTGTTAAGAATTTGAAGGTTGCTTCTCATAAGACTCATTTTAGCCAGACGTAGGTTGTCAGAAACTTTGTTGTTTTAATCAGATTTTGTTACAATGTTGTGGACATTAATGCAGCGTACAACAGACACCAAGTCACATTCCTGTACGAATTATAACTTTATATCAGTAAATACAATTTACTTGCTGGTGTTATAGGAACGAAAATTACTCTGCTCGATGTGGATATTGTAATTAGAATGAATCATTGATTTTATTACAAGACTACGATCTAAGATTAAATATCTATTGTTTTTAGAGTTTGATGTTTCTATTTTTTTTATTACAAAGAAACCTCTTCTCGGAACATAAGTCCGCAAGTTACTGCTTAAATATACATTGTACCTTTAATTTTCTTTGCACAAAGTTAAAAGCACCTTAAAACACTTTCAAACAAAGAAGTACACAACTTTTTACAATTTACCCGAGCGGGGGCGCCTCGTAAATTACAACGAGATAACGGACGCTTGTTTTTATTTTGTGAGCAATGTACAATTTTAACATGAAACAGTTTCATAAGTATGTAATCAAGTAATACAAGACATTCTTAAAACACGGAGTTCCTAATTTTATTATGCTTTCCAATAAACAAATCATACTTAATATTTAAGCCTCGTAGAAAATTCACAGCACAAATCTTCATACTCTTTGAGGACGTATTCTATGTGTCTCTCTGCGTCGCGTGTTTTTTTTACCACACACATGGATCAGTAGAATTTTAGCGACTTATGACAATTATATTTTTTTATTTAAAACTCCGAAAACTTAATTGTTAATGACCCTTCTGGGTCTATGTTATAGTCTCTCGCGTCCCAAAGGAAATACACAAATGTTGTATATACAGGTATAATAAGTAGGTACTATGATGTCTGAAGAATCGTTTAAATTAATAGTTATCTGAATTTGGCTTATTTTAAGAAAGGTAAAATCTCTATGGAAACTCGATTTAAAAGTGAAAATTTAATATTCGGTAACATTGAATAAGTCACAAAAGAACAAAGCAGTTCATTTGCAACGGGAACTAATAAAACATAAATAAAAATGGTTACAAAACAAAAGAACATTTGCATGCGCGATAAATGTAAAATGGAATTCAGAAACAAACATACAAAATGAAAAACGGTTTAATGTAAACAATAAAGGATATTTGAATATGACAGGACACGATTTATAGAAATGTGTAATTGTTGTGTGATTTTCGAGATATAAAATTTCGTAACATGATAATTAAAAAAATGAAAAAGTCATTGATGATTCGCTCAATTTCGTTATATTTTTTACTATAAAATGTAACTATTATATTGTTGTTAAATAAATAAGATATTTGCTTTGTACTGCAACTAATTTATAGTGTGTAAAGCGAGCAGATTTACCAAACAGAAGGGAGCAAAGTGATTTAATGCGGTTAGCGTTGCAGAGACAGTCGCGGTAATGTATGCACATATTGAATTACAACTGCGATCGACTGCTGCCAAACGTTCAATATGACTGAATATCAATAACAACGTTATAGAAAAATCAATAATTTAGGAAAATTCTAGATATTATAATTTTGCGTAAATAAATTCGAACACTATGAATATAACAGTAACTTTTAGTTTATTTGAAATGATTACAAACCATATAGGAAAACATTTTTCATCTGTAAACATTTTATTGAATCACTAGTTCCGGAAAAAATGAGTGAAAAAATATTAGATAAAGTACTCTTGGCTACTGCAATAATTCAAAGTTACTTTAAGCTCGTACCAAGATTGCCCTCTATTCCTCTTCTCTTTAAACATCAAGTTACCATGGCGAGTGAAAATTAGTAAGATTTCAGTGTAAACAAATAATATATTTGTTTAATATGTTGACTCTTGACTCGATGCGGATTTTATTTCTATCGTTGAATTCTTCTTTTTCATAAATCAATTAATATTGTCCATTATATTATAATATATTGTGTGGAATGAATGTACATAATATGCGTAATATATCATTAACATAATAACACAGCGCGACGTCGAGGTCGTGTGTTAGCTAATGGTCAATTTACCACAAATGAATGACCACTGAACTAGAACGTCGGCAATTAATTTTACTTGATATCGGACACTGACTGTATCGGCTGTCGGACGGACTAATGACGTCATCATTATAAATGCAACCAAATCTCTTATGTTCACCAAGACGAGGTCCATTTAGAAATTTGATAGTTTTAGGCAGTTATTTGTTTAATTATGTTGCTTTTAAACAGAATTCAAGATAAATAAAACGCAACAAGTACATGTACTTTTATTACACTTCAAAAGTGCCTTAAACTAAAATTGTATACGTATCGCATATATTTTTAACTTTTGACTAACATTCTTAGATTTATCCAAAATGTACGATCCCCAGCTAATGCACATTAATGTTTCCTCGGTTTTCGCATCCATTGTCCCGCAGTCCGGGGTCCGACTGTCCGCAATAAGAACGAAAATACCGCTCTGCCGCCGCCGACACCGCGCCGGCAGCCGCGGTTAAAATCATAAAAATTTGGATAACATAAAATCAAAAGAATGCTTCTATGTCCACTTTACAAAATGAAATATAAAGACTAAAAATATTTAGATAGGCAATTTTCGTATAAAAGACCTTCATGAAAATATTGAATTAAGATATAATTTTTTGACTGCTGTAACTTGCAACCTGACTTTATTCGTTGGTTTGTTATTATTCAAATTAGCAGAACTAAAATATGGAAAAGCAATTTGGTTACAACCTGCTTAAGGGTCACAAATGTCTACGATGTTAAATTTGGAATAATCATAAATAAAGTTAGAAAAATAATACATTCAAATACGAATATAATTCAAATACGACTCATCAAAGTATCCGTGACTTGATAAAGGCAATGTTAATGCTTCATTAGCGGCTGAAGCCGCAACACATCGGCCGGCCTCGTTAGCGCCGCTTCGCCTAAATGTCAGCCAAACAAAATAAAACCGATTACATTCATTAAAACTGACATTTTGGTTTCTATTTGATATTATCTATACTGTTTATTGTATTTGATCGAAATATCTTCTACATTCACACGTATTTTCAACAGATATGTAATCTAAAGTGGGATAAAACCTTTCGTGTTTATCTTAATTTCATTCTTAACCGTATCTAGTTGACTTCATAAAAAACAAAAGAATGGCTTTATTATTTTTTCGACATTCTCTTGTAGAGCGCGCCGGGAACAGACACGACGGCGACGCGGTGTTATTTGCATATAAACAAGAAGCGCGGATGGCAACTTTGTAGAAGTATTTTGGTTAATAAAATGGATATTAATGGTCTCGGTATGTTTTAATAAAGACGTACTTTGTGTTAAACTAAAATCTAATTAACTACGAAAAGTAATAAAACAGCAGAACTAATATTCATTTACATAATATTAAAGTAAATACTTGACTCTAGATTATCTCAGCCGTGTATTTCAGTATAAACATCAGATAACCAGTACTGAATATTTTTTTAATAAACAAGTTGTCCAAATATTTTCACATCAAAAGAGCTGTTGGGGTTTTAACGAAATATCGTTTCAATTAAAATGCAAATAGTCGAGTACATATCAATGGGTTAATTACGTCACTCGGAACATCAACAACAAGCTAATCAAGTCTTTAAAGCAGTAATTGTAACAGAACTTTTGTATCCTATAATTTTATGGTTCGTGAAAAGACTCCCATGACTTCAATTATTTAAATATGTTAACTTCGAATACAAATTGTTTGCATGTACCAGTATAAAATGACACGTACGGGATACTCGACATGTCCGCGCCTCGGATAACTACAATTTGCATTTTAATTGCCAGAGGATCCAATAAAAAACTGGTGTGGCTTTTCCTCTGATATATTTTTTTAATTTAAACACATGTTCACTTTATTTGCAAAATTAAAATATACACAAGCTCTCACTGCTTAAAAAGCATACAAACATTTGAGACTTCATCATGCCGGAATAAACAAAAAATCTAGTAATAAATATAGTCTATGTCAATTAGAGATAGTGCAACTTTCTAATGGAAAAAGATTTTTAAAATCAATAGCGTAGTTTTTCAATTTATATTTACATACAAAATTACAAATTTTTTGTTATTGTTACATTTATAAAAATAAAATTATTTAATTAGATGTCACACCCGTAAAAAAGTAAGAAACATTAAGATATGACACTCTGATACTTCGAAAGTAAGGTGAACAATTTTCTCTGCCTTCCTACGCACTTCGTTCAAACACCTAAGCGAAAATAAACAAGATGAAATAGGAAAAGTGTTAAATCCGGGCTTTGGTTATTATTCTTCAGTAGGAAATATTCAGAAAAGCTGGATCAAGCGTACGCTCGTGTTTTGACACGAAATTGAATAGAGATTTTAGAGACGCCGTCTTTGAGGTTTTTCACAAACCTTTGATCTTTACCGACGAATTAATTTAGACATTTTTGTAAATGGGTACTTAAGGTTTATAAAAAAGAGAAAAGTTTTGAGGAAAAGAAGTAGATATTAATCATGTTTTGTGCAAAAGCTTAACTGCAACAAAATAATTAAATGATTTGCTACAATATATGAAATAGTTGACATACGCAAGTCTTTGTTGGTAACTAGGTAGTATCGGCATAAAGCCATGTGAGTAAGAAAGTATCTCAAATATCAAAAGTTATTATTTATCCATAAAAGACTTAACTCCTTGTATGTTATCAACAAACTAAAGTAAGCTATTCAGATAATAAAGGTTCGAATATACATAAAATTGTCAGAAAGTAAGCAGACTGTGCGAATATTGTATTTAATTTTTCTTCATAAAATTAAATAAAAAGGTATTGAAGCATTTGTATAGAATCAAGAGCATGTAGGTCAATTTACATTTTAATTGACTGGAGTAGCGGGGTAGCAGGGTACGGGGTGCGGAGAGCGGGGTGCGGGGTGCGGGGGTGCGGGCGACGCAAAAATATTCGCTACAATAAATATTCGCCACGTCCCCGCTGAATTGTAGGACATCGTAAACAAACAAATCCGATTCCGTAAATGTGACACGCGAAATGTTATTTATTTGTTTTGTTCTATCAAAAAGTTGCTCGTAAATTAACAACCTTTATATTGGAACACGTGTGTAGGGATCGCTGCGATCATGTTCCCTCATCTCTGACCAAACTATCAACAAAAATCTAAAAGCAAAAGATAACCGAGTCAATACAACTGATATGTTACGAAGGATATTTGTTGCAGGGAATTATAAAAAAAAAACTTAATAAGTACACTTTGTGTTCTTCCAGACTAAGCTATACACCTGTACCAAATTGCATGAAGTTCCATTTAGCTGTTCTGGAGATAAATTCTAACAAACATCCATCCATCTATTTGCTACCAATCATAAAGAGATTCACGATCGATATAAATATATGTATGTACTTAGTATATTTCTATATTTTCGTTAATTCAAACATAACGTACTATAATTTAACACTCGGTAATACAATCAACAGTTAAAATGAGATTTTAACTGTTGATTTATCCCCGGTTCGACTTGAACTTTTTTAATAACGGCGAAGATAAATTATGTTCACCAAATAAATAACATCGAAAAGGCAATAAGTTAGACGCTGACGTCTCACCGCTATCTTATTTATGTAGGAGCGCTGCAGTGGTATTGGGGAATAAGATAGAAGACAGTACAATTAAACTACAATACGTGGAATCACCAGCCAGGTTTGATTTAGGATTGAGGTACTAGTTTTGTCACTGCTAAAATGCTGGTGGCAGCACGATTGTTCGAAGTGGCCGCTACCCTTGAAGATTACTGTGCTTGAAGCTGTATTCTTCATCCTTCAGATTTCATATTGCTACCAGAAGGTATATGCAGGTGTGGTTGTTTTTAATTGAAACTTACCCATAGCAAAGAGGAGGAGGAGGGCGGTCCCGAGCCAGGAGGTCATGTTGTCTACAGCGCAACGCTCGCACGATCACATCCCATACGATTCCCGCATGACATCACACTTGTTTTGTTAACTGGGAACAAAGATATGAATTAAAAAAAAGTCTCTACATAAAATAGAACCTAAAATGTATGTGCAATATAAGTTACTTGGCCATGGAGGCGCGACGAAAAGTTTATCATACATTTGAATGTTTCAATAAATTATTTTAGTAATAAAGCTGGCCAAAATTTTCGCCATTAAAAACAAGAAGTGTTACGCTAGCCAAATCGCTAAAAGACGGTCCACACCCTGTTATTTGCATTCGCTTTACACGGCGACACTCGGGCCACACAGTCGTCATATAAATTCCCAAGTCGTAAAAGAAGCTAGAAGTAATATTAAAGCGCGCCCTTATCCGCGGCGAGTTGGGGTGCCATTTATCAGCGCGGCGCCGGCCGGGACACTCCTCTCACAGTTTTATGTTCTGCCAGATTCACATCTTAGGACCGATTTTAATTGCTTTTCGTCGAATAAAGTTGCGGTATCGTCTTGACCTACTTTTCTGGTATTCAAAGAGGTTCATCTTAAGATTACGAAACTCGTAAATTAGCAAAGACTTAATGCTTCAATTTGGAAATTTATTGTACAACTAGCGTTCGCCTGCGACTTTGTCAGCACAGAAACACACGAACTACCTCCTCATCTAAGTACCCTTAGAAATCGTTTCAAAGATTATACAAATCAAATACGACCTTGCAGACACACATACAATGATTTCTAAAATTATTTTTCATAAATTAAATTATACGAAATATTATTTTTTTCCATGTCATACTTATAGAAAATGTAATTACACATTGCCATGGAACAGATTCTTAAAAAACAGCTAATTTATTAATTAGTGAGATGAAACTAATTAAAAGATGAGGTAACCGAGTGTCAGCAGCTGAAGCTGGCTGTGCAGAGATTACGCCGCGAAATGTGAAAGCTTGTATTTTTAATTTCCTTTTCCCGACTTAAGTAAATCTTGTTCTAATTAATTTAACATTTCCAACTTTAAACTTTGTACAAGTATATCTGTGTTATTAATTTAACTTAAGCTAATATTCTAGAAAGTGTCACTATACAGTAAAGCAGATTAAAGCCATAATTGCAACTCAAATCTGAAGAATAAACACCCTAGGCATCGTGTCTAGTAGAAATCAGATACTGGTAGATAGAGCTGCAAATAAACTAATAGAGTACATTATTCTTATTATAAAGTGCATGGAAGTTATAGTATAAGTAAAAATAATAGATATTGCGAGGTGACGCTTGTCTCTATCCCCGACACAGCCACAAATCCCGGCGACCCAATAGAATATTCCTCGCGCTAATTAGTCAGTCCGCAACTCCTGACTCCCGAGACCAAAGACCATTGTTGAAGCAAGATCGTTCATTCAACACTAAGCACTCCATTCAACTCTTTATATAACTTTATAATCCTTTTTACTAACTTAAAGCTACTTAATCCTTTTTAAATAATAATTAAATCACAAAGATGGTGTTTAGGTTTTAAATAAAAAAATCACTTTTAAATCGAGCAAAGAAACATGTATTGCATAATATTTACAGAAAAAAGACAATGAAAAAAGTTTGACATTTCTCACTTTAAAATTTGATTTCTTCTTTTTAGCAAATGGCATTTAACCTAAAACTATAGAAACTTCTTAGACAGATGGCGCACTGGAATATTATAATTTAGATGTGACAGTATAGTTTCGAGGAAGTCATAAAATAGCCTGCCCTTGATAAACAGGAAATACAGCTTCCATTTATCTCTAAAGTTCGTAACGAAAGGAAAATAATCCGAAGACGGAGAAAATTGAAAGCTTTTTTCTGTTATTTACTTTAGAATTGCTTCTGTTTACAACGTTAAAGCAAAAGGTGACATAATTGAATAGAATCTACATTTACGTTGTTTACAAAACAAGTCTAAAAGCTTTTGCTAAAGCCAAATGTAATAGATACTTGTTTTTGTACAGGACTTAATTTTAGATTGATCTTTGTTTAAATTATCTTTATTTCGAGATACGATTTAAAAGTTTAATTCAGTGAAATAGCATATTTCATTAGCCGCTCCGCTGCAAGAATCACTTCAAAGAGCTGGAACGGATGCCATCCCTACTCAATGTTTCAACTCCGCGACAAAATTACCACAATACACCCTGCCTCTTAAAGGTCTAGTCTGTCTGAAAACTTTATCATTTCATTGACAATTCTATCTAGAAATTTTTAACTTTATCCCTTTGTGCTAAGAGTGATATTCGATTGCAGCTAGTTATGAAAATACATCATTACGCAAGCTTTTTGAATCAATTATGCAGCGGTGTAACGAGACGCGATAAAGAGCCACTCGCGCCTCATTCACAGAACTACAAATGTAAGTGTATACAATACAGATAATTTATAAATTTTAAATAAAAACTTTATTTGCAACTTTTAGTATTCAAGTATCTATCTGTACTCAGATTTACATGTTAAAAACAGTTAACTAATTCTTATTTTACTATGTGAGCTCAATATTTATATAGTTTTTTAGGCATATGAAATAGGTAATAAGGTCGTAAGTCGGATATAAGTTACATTACTTAACTCAAAGTAGAATGCAGAGAGAGGACATGGAGTTAGAACTTAACTCCTTAAATAACACCTCTACTAATCGTAGAACCTTTCAAGCGTGTGATGACATCTGTCAAGCAAATTGTTGTTATTGATTATAAGTAAAATAGTATATAACACTAGCTGTCACCCCCGACTCCGTCCGCACGGAATTAAAAATATTTAATCAAGTAGCCAATGTGCTCTCCCAGAATATGTTCAGAACCTTTGAGCCGTTTTAAAAATAGGTAGTAACAAACTATCACCCAATAACAATTCATCCAAACTATCGCATTTTATAAGAGTAAAACTTAAGATAAAGGAAATAGTAAGAAGAAAGATAATAAAGAATCTATCCTTCAGTATTAAACAAAAAGTGACACATTATTAATCCTTGGCTTAATTTCTTTCTCTATTTATAAAAAACTAGTTTTCGCCCGCTACTCCGTCCGCGTGGAATAAATAAAAACATAAGTAAGTATCTAGTAGTCGTTCTAAGTAATACTTTCAGACTGTCCTTGTCAGACATCTATGCCAAATTTCATCTAGATCCGTTCAGCAATTTAAGCTACAAACTGTAACAAACATTCATCTAAACTCTCGCATTTATAGAGTATTAGTAAGTGGTTAATTTATAATTGTTTAAAAATACCGAGCGACAATTTCAAAAATAAATTTGTGTCATCGTTTCGCCGTACGAGCGGATCAACATTCATTTAATATCAGCTGACCGATGGCAGGTTCAACCTCACTTTGTCATCTCCGTTCAGATGTCGGTGGCTTCTTTCTCCCGAGGTGGTGCGACGTAACCGTAGCGGAATATTAATTAATGGCCACTCCAAGGAACTTTAACCCTACGAGTTACAGACCGACCCTTAATTACTACGTACCTAGCGTTTTTCAACTGCGTTTCTTTCACACTGTGTGTAGCACCGGTTTGCGGGAAAGGGATGGATGTGTGGCGCGGCGAGCGTGCGGGCGACCGCCGGCCGTTGTGTCGCGAGCCTGACTAAATCTGTGCCGATCTCCGCCAGGTCAGGTCAGCATAGGGCCGCGGCCACAATGCTATATTAAGAATAATAAATTAAGTAATGTTTCAGTAACATGCCCTATTCTTAGTCAATTTGGACTATACGTATGCGTATACGTGTATGCAACTTGACATATCTTATTTATATAGGCATCTCAGATTTAAATGTTCTGTAGATAAAGCTCTATTTGTAAAAGTGTACGTCTATAATTCCAAATACATACATACAAAGTTGACAATAACATTATAAATTGCTTAAAAAATGTTTAACATCTTCATACAAGTTTATGCTAGATAAGCATTAAGAATTGATGCTACTGGTATGAGATCAAAGAGGTAGATTACACACTACTGGAATTCAATAATTTCTAGAAGATTAAGTGGTACAATTTATGTGTGAAGTTGTATGAATATTTCTCAATTATTTAATCTAATTTTAAATTCCGATCAGATTTCGCGGCTAGTGTGAAGTGAGCTTAACTCAGCATCCTACCAACACAAGCCTTACACACGCACACCTCCAACTTCTCCGGCGTCCCGCGTCACGGTTGGTACACTGGTGTTCGTATCCACAAGTCCCTCCTATGTGTGTGTTATCCTGAAAATGGCCGCTTAGAATATGACGCATGCGCGGGAAAACAACCCTCTTATAACACGCTTAAAGCGAATTCTGATCAATTTCATAACTTATCCGTATTAAGTTAAGGAGCAATGTAGTTTTATGATGTGTATTGTTACATTGTCGGTACGTATGGCGCGTTTTTGAAGTTCAGACTTGGGGAAGGTAAAGGACACTTCTTGGATGCAAGAGTGCGCGAAGTGAATCAAAATAGGGGCTAACATATGTCGTTGATTTGCGAACCAGCGCAGATCTTTTGAAAATGCGACCGTGATTTCTTTCCCCATGATAACGACCGCGCAATGTGGGGCTCGTAGTGCCCACTTCACACGACAATTTCCTTTCCTCGCTTCAACCACAATTAAAAATATTTCATTTACATTTAGTCTTCCAGAAAACAGATTCGATTATAATTATTGTGAATAGCAAGCTTGGATAAATGGGTTTAAGAAATAACTGAACTTTCTTTTGGCATTATTAAAGTGCATATATATTGTAATAAGTATTGTAGTTTTAATTAATGTAAAACGATATGTTAAAAGTCAATCAGTATCAGATATCGTGCGGCGTGCGGCGTGCGGTCCGCGTGACTCCTAATTGGACGACCGCAGCGCTGCGGCCGACGTTCCGTGACGTCACTCAACCCCAACAATCCTATGTACCAATTATCTTCAAATATTGGGATCCCCTTACTGATTTAAACCACATTGTTTATAAGGTCAGCGACAGATCGTTAAAATTCACTAATCAATAATGTTTGCACATGTTATTAATTTTAACTAAGGGCAGTGTTGTCTTGACAAGTTATTTTAGCTAGCATTTATTCTGCCTTGAAAAAAATGGGGTGGAATAGTTTGGTTATTTAAAGATTTGCCGCTTGCCTGCGGTGTTGTACGACGGAGGTTCCAAAACGGAGACTAGTGTTCTATATTAGTATGTATTTTTACCTTGTAATGTTAAAAGCTTTTAGCCATCTAGAAATGTTTCCGTGCTAAAAATGCAAACGCACTGCATATCATGCACTCGTGTAAAAATTTTCAGTCAGTGAAGATTTACTTTTTCATACGCTATTTCTGATATATTGTTTAGAAAGATGTCGTAGCTGACTCCTACAGCAGTATTAGTTTTCGTCACACCACGAATTACAAATTCAGTGTTAAGTTGATGATTTAGCCATACCTAAATATCGTGAAATTCGCCAAAGGTTAAGTGTTAAATAAGTTACTACATAAGTTGTTTAATCAATTTAAAAATGTGATTTTAATTGCAACACTTGTTGTTTATTAATTGGCTCCTGCTGCTGCGAACCGCAACATCCTGATTTGGCGGAAAAAATTGAAGAGCAATCACGTCTCAGTAATTAGTAAGTCGCTTGCGGATGGATCGCAGCCAGCTCCGGCTGATTGCAGTTATAATGATGTATTCCTCGCAGAGCTAGGAGCCGCGGGTTATTGAATGCTACGCTCGAAAGCAAGGACTTGAAATATTCAACGTATCTTATTGTTATTTTTATTGACCGGATATAATTAAGTGTACAAATGAGTGAATTTACTACATATATGATTCGATTATTTTGTTCGAATTTTAAAGTTGGTTAAAGTAGTTTTCGAATGGGACTAAATATTTACAAATTTTGAACAAACTCTTGAAGAGCTCAGAAAAATGTATTTAATGTTTTTATGTTTTCTACTTAAATGCTAACGATGCCAAAAACGCAGTTATTCAAGCCTTGGCATCTAGGAAACACTTACTTGGCGCTCAACTAACATACATTAAGTCAGCATTAAATAGACGATTTAAACATTTTGTCTGACACATAAGTAAAAATACTTCTTTAATGTGTTAATATCGCGTTCATTAATAAAAAGTGTACTTAAAATTAAAATCTATTCTTGTCTGTATTGAAGCATTTATATAGTTTTACATTTAAGCTTTGTATTAGTTACATTCTGAACGTCCATTCCAAGATTTTATTTCGGCAATATTCGAGCTGCAAACTCGTTATTTCTTTAATAAACATGGGAATAAACTTTCAACGTTATTTTGCGGTAGTATCACTTCTTGTTTTACTAATGAGTTTTATATGGATTGGATGATTTAATTAACTTCTTGATTTTGTCACGAGCCAAGGTTTTTAGTCACTAAATATGTATTATTAAATAAAACATTCAATAATGTAGATTGATAACATTTTTGAAGGTGACAAAGCAAATTTTAGAGCTTAAATGGAATATTCCCAACTGTCACCCCACACTGTTCCCACGTGGAAACAGATGAGAATAAAAAGTTTCATTCGTCCAACCTTTTGCGACGAGGGGATGGTTGGAACTTATTTTATTTCATAACAGTTCCACCTGTCACCTTAGTAGTGATAGTGGGACTAAAAGGTGGGACGGATGTTTATTCTGACGTGAGGACAAAGCGGAGTGACGGTTAGGAATTATCCGCTTAAATTATCACATAAGTGCGTGGTATCGATTGTTTCCCAATAGCTACCGAAGTGGATAGGGATCAAATAACTCGCTTTTACCAAAAAAAAAAGTAATCTTCAGGATTTGACGTTTTTACTTGCTAACATAGGCAAGCGTACAAATGACTAAATTGAAAGCAACTTTATTTCAATATTAAAAATGTTCGAATATTCTTGATTAATAAATTGTGTTATAAATTATTTCAAAAAAACTATCTTAGGTATTTTTTAACACTAATATTTGTAGCTACATTTGTATAGTATCTGCTACACTTCGTAGCTACTAGTGCTACGTGTGCTACACAATATAATTTACGGTAGCCACTAATAGATTCTAATAGACATGAGCTACAAATGTTGTTATTTGACAGTTTGTAGAAATGGCTTATTAGTGTTAAATAAATAATTATATACAATATTGTCAAATAATTAAATTTAACAACCTGATCCTTGTCAAAAGGCTAGCAAACTGTATATTTTTATTAATCAAAAATTGTGTGAAATTGGAAAAATATGATAAAAAGTGAAAAATAACTTCAAAACTTGCAGAAAGGAGTTTAATTAAATTAAAAACAAGACCATTTGACTTTTTTCAGGATTGTGTCGCTCCGCCCAGTTCGTAATCAGCTAACGAGCCTTCTTCAGCGGAGGCTCGCGGACAGAAGTGCAATCACGTTTCAGTAATTAATATCTCATTTAGCGCCGCGCTGGCGCTCCGCCAACTTTAAAATCAAAAATATCTAATTAAATGATTTTTTCAAACATCATGAACTATTTGCATTTTTCATTAATCGAAATTTAAAAAAATAATATATTTTCAAGTTTTTAACAGATATAAAATCGTATAACATAATATAGTGCCACCATAATACATCTTAAGTTCGAACATTTCAAAGCACTTGAAGTATGAGGGCTGTATAGGACAATGTGGGGCTGCTAGTATTCCTGTCAGTGGCGGCTCTCTCTACTTGTAATTCAACACTACTATTACAACGCCTGGGAAAGTGATTTAATTGTGACCAGCCTTATGTAATGTTAACGCAATAAAACACTACAGTAGGTTACTATTGGTATAAAATAAACAAATAAAACAAAGTCTTCAGTAAGTTTTATTTCTCTTTTATTCGTAAAATATTTACATTGTTTGGCCATATCGGGCAGTGATAGTTATTCAGAAATTGTCAATAGAATTACAAGCACAGTAGATAATATAATAACGATAGTTTGTACATACAAATTGTTCATCATTTATACATATTACTTGAGTTGAGTAAAAGCTAAAAGATTTGTTTCGACAGATTAGTTTGACGCAAGTAACAACTATTAATTTATAAAAATTGTTATAAAAATCATTCTAGTATTATGCTTTAGATGAAATTTATTTTAACATATAAAAAGGGGATTAAACCGGATACCTATGTATGTAAAAAATATTGTAAAAGTAAATAAAAACTTACATTTATAAAAGCGTCCAAAGTTTTAATAAGCAGTTTAGATTCGTTGCATGTCGTTATCAAAAATTAATTTCTAATTTATCGAAAACTTTTACAGGCAGTTGTAGATAAGAAATATACAAAGCTAGCTTTATTTCTGGACACACATATAGTAGAGTTTAATAAGTTTTATTGCAATGTGATTATCTAGCGTCCCCGCCTGCCTGCAGAGCACTGGATTAATGTTCATGAGTAAATTCGAATTAACATTTTTCTAAAACCGCCTCGCGTCATATCTCTCAGTTGTACTTTATTTCCTAATTATACTACGAATTACCTACTTTTTACATTAATTAAAGATATGATGTTAATCATGTAAAAACTATGTTACTAGGGCTGTCACAGTTTCATATTAATCATGACGCTGTATTACTTGTTGGAGGATAAAAATATTTATAACATAGAGGAAAAACTCTAAAAATAATTTTGTTAAATTGCGCTTAAATTTATGTATATTGTGTATTTTATTGTATGTATTAAACAGTTAACGGTTGTCGTCGTTCTAAAGCGAACACTAATAATGTTGACAGCCCTAGTTAAGTATTGACATTTTATTATAATACATCAATAAAAATATAGACCTGTATAAAACAACATTTTAAATACATTCAGGGTGACGATGAAAATATCGTTGATACAAGTCCTCACGTTTGGTATTATGAGAATTATCTAAAGTCTTAAGAAGTATTCTAATGTTTACTAACACAACAATGAAACAGGGTTTTTTCGTTTACCACAACAATTATAGCTTAAAAACTACAAGTATTTACACAAAATAAAGAAAACTATTTAGTTATCCATTCTTAAAAGTCAACATTTTCGCACACATTTTAAATCACTAAAACTTATAACAACTAAAATAATCATTAACAATGATATAATCCGTATAATTTTTTTTATAATAATTTAGTTTGATGGGATGAATTATTGTCCTCATCTTGTTTTCCCCAATAGGCCGAAAAGTTTAACACCAAGTACAAAATATATAAATATAAATTTTCTTACTTTTCGTAATTTAGGGATCTTTTACTCTAATCTTAATTTTAATATATTCAATTTCATAACAGAGTGTTGCGACTTCTTTGTCGGTGAAGTTCGTGAAATAAAAATATTAATCTTTTGCAGTTTTCATTAGTAACAAAAATAACATTATAAAAGGTAATTAACAACAACCGATTAAGACAAATACAAATATCGCGACATAACATTGTTTATTAATTTATGTGATTTATGACAACCATCGCATCAAACTATTTACAACATTTATTTTATTGTACAGTACCGCATTACCTAATCTAAGTAATATCTATAGAATAGACCTTTGTTCTCTCCCAGCTCGCCCCCACTCTTCATTGTCACACTTCATACGTGTATTGTAAAATCTCTTCGCTCCTGTTCCTGTCGTTGTTGATATCTGCAGTTAAAACAAATTTAATTATGTGAATTTATTTACTAAAATTAAAACTTTACCAGCGCCATCTATACTAAAGGTTGAAAACAACTGTGAGCTATTTTAGTCCAATGTATCCGAAAGTTGCCGTAAGATGGCATTGATTTCATTCCATTTACTATAACGCACAGAAATTAATTTTAAAAGAATATTATTTCAATCAAAAGAAACATAGAAATTTATAACGTGATTGAAGGCACCTTCAAGAGCAGCGTGATTCGGTACTTAGTGAGCTAGCGTGTAACATCCGTGACCATGTCTTCCCTTAGTTAAGGTGGGTGGAATCGAGGTCAAGCGTTGGTTTATTTATGACAAAAAAGAAATAGTGTCGCTTTTAGCAATGTCATAATTTATAGTAATGTGCACCTGGCGGGTGGCGGGTGGTGCCGGCGCTGGCGGCGGCGCTGCGCCAGCGAGCGCGCGTCGGCCGCGGACTCCGCGCTAGAGTCAGTTACCGCGCGGAATGCCTCTTCTACGAATTTACAACACAAGTTAAAACTTGGTATAGTTTATTATAAAGTAAATATAAAGGTTGAGAAACAACAGAAATAACCTTTGGCGGGTGCTAGAGGGCGACGATATGCGGCAGCTCCGCACTCCGCGCAAGGAGAACCACTCGAGTCGGAATCGGACTCTGCGCGGCGCACCGACAACGTCATAGCGTGCGATAGACTATACTCGTCTGTGCAACATTCGTAGTTTATTAATATTATTTTTCAGCATTAGACACTATTTCCTCTAACAATAATTGTAAAAGTGATGGACATTAGTAAATAAATTATAAAGTGCCCACCGGAGTCCGCGGGCGACCGATGGCAGTGTGCAGGGCGACGCGGCGGCGCGGC